TGAGAAGATAAATGGAGAATCATTAGAAGGTTTTAAGTAGCAGCATGATAGGCCTATTATAGCAGAGCAGGTGAGAAACAATCAGGGCCTGGGCTGAAGCTATGGCAATGAGACTAGAAAGCATGGGATGATTTTCAGAGATGGGCATGTTGAGAGATTCAATGAAGGAGATGAGAGAGAAGGAATTGAGGGCAGGAAACTCCTGATATTCCAACTTGGACCTAAGGTTGGCGGTACCTCCTTTCAAAATGGGTCACAGATAGAAGAGGCAGGACTTTATTTGTTTATGTGTGTGTCCCCTATGAAAACGTGGTACCTCCTTTCAAAATGGATCACAGATAGAAGAGGCAGGACTTTCTTATTTGTTTATGTGTGTGTCCCCTATGAAAACGGGTACTGTACATTTTTCATTTCCATGTCCTTTTCATTAGAACCAAGACCGGAATAATATTTAGCTCTCAGGTTCCCAGTGGAGAGGAAATAAACATGGATAGCATTAATTTTAGCTGAGTTTTAAATGCATTTTATCAGGGCTTCTTAAAGAAGGGAGGAGTCCCCTGTGCACCTCTCTGACCTCATCTCTAGGGGAACCTGGGCTATGGCTGGAAGAGACTTTCTCAAGTGAAAAATGGGTCATGCTATGTCTTTAAAAGCCATGCACATTTACTTTTTTTGTTGTTGAGGATATTTTTTTCCCATTGATTTGGTGAAAGAGTAAAAGGGAAGAGGAGGAGGAGAAGGAAAAAGAACAGGAGGAGGAGGAGGGAGAAACATATCAATTGGTTGAATCTAGCATGCACCCCAACCCGCACCCCAACCTGGGGCCAGGCATCAACCTACAACCCTGTCCTAGCCGGTTTGGCTCAGTTGATAGAGCGTCAGCCTGTAGACTGAATGCTCCTGGGTTCGATTACGATCAAGGGCACATGCCCAGGTTGTGGGCTGGATTCCCAGCAGGGTGTGCAGCCAGCAGCCCATCAGTGGTTCTCTCTCGTCATTGATGTTTCTATCTCTCCCTCTTCCTTCCTCTCTGAAATCAATAAAAATATATTAAAAAAACAAACAACAAAAACCCTGTAACCCAGGTACGTGCCCCTGACCTGGAATTAAACCTGTGATCTTTCAGTGTGCAGTCCATGCTCTATTCACTGAACAACACCGGCCTGGGTATTAATTGTTGTTTTAATATAATACTTTCCCCATCCCCTTGCAAAGAACACTATAAATAAATAACAATGTCATTCCAGGAATATATACCTTATTTATTTGGGGCTTTATATATGTACTAGGGGCCCGGTGCACAAAATTCGTGCACTTGGTGTGTGTGTGGGGGGAGTGTCCCTCAGCCCAGCCTGCCCCCTCTCATATACTGGGAGCCCTCAGGCGTTGACCCCCATCACCCTGCCTGGGCAGGGGACCCTCATTTCCCCCCATCACTGGTTCTGCCCCCAGCCCAGGCCTGATGCCTCTGGCCCAGGCATCAGGCCTGGGCAGGGGACCCACAGACCCCTCCAATTGCTGGCTCTGCCCTCGGCCCAGGCCTGATGCCTCGGCCAGAGGTGTAGACCCCCATCCCCCTCCGATCGCCTGA